TTTTTTTTTTTTTTTTTTTTTTTATGAATAACGGAGATAGGGGTTCAGCCCTTATATTTTTTGAAATTTCTTTTCTTTCTTCTTTTTTCTCATGATTATGTTGGAATATGTTGATTTTCTATACTTTTAACATGAAGTTTATACTTTTCACATGAAAATTATGGATAATTATTAAGGAAATATGATTATAGAACCTAGGGAACTACCCTAGGATACATATTTTTACTTGAAAAAATCCATTACCTAGGTGGCTAGTCAACAAGGCGCCCCCTTGTCACCTAGCCTCGCCTTGGCGCCTTGAAAGCTATGGTCTTATCACACCCCCCATGTGGAAACACCAAGATGAAGCACAGGTGGATGATCCAGTAAAATACCCTATCACCTAGGCATCACCTTGACAACCATGCTTCCCCGATTGACCTACAAACCAGGTCACTCCTAGCAAAGGGCTCACAAGATTCTTACAACAGATCTGTTGTATTTCTTTTCTTTTCTATTTCTATATTGGTAGCATTTTTTTTAAACTATAATTTGTTATCCTTAAAAAGAAGCTTAACTTCTTTTTTTTTTTTTTTGAAAGAAGGTAAAGTATGATTGTTTTAATATAATGTCCTGTGTACAAAGAGAAGCTGTACAAAGTGAAGGACCTCAATAAAGGCTGTCCTCAAAAAAGTATAATCAGATATACTATCTCTAAAATCATTATGTATAGACAGACATCCAACTTCTCAAAACCTCTATTGCCAAGTTAATGACCTCAGCTTCAGTAGTAGATTTTTTCTCAAAAATCCTGTTGTTCCTTTCTGACCACACAGCCCACATAACTGCAGGAGGGATGGAAATCCAGCATAACTTTCCTTTCTTCGACAGCCCCTGAATATGCCACTCTTCTAGCAGAGCTCTTACTGAGGCTGGCATGCACCAGCTTAGATTCAGGGATTTGAAGAAGTGTGACCATACTGCAGAACTAAACTTGCAATGAAGGAAGAGATGCCCAGAAGATTCCATTTGCATATTGCAAAAACAGCACCTCCAATCTGGAAGATTAAGACCTTTATTCAGCAACATTTCTTTGGACAGACACCTCTCCAGAGCTGCCACCCAAACAAAAAAACTTGATTTTTGGAGGAGCCAAGTTCCTCCAAATGGCCTTCCTGGGAAAGGGGGCTTCAGACCTTCCCACCAGAAAATTGTAGAAGGATTTGACTGCGAATTCTCTAGATTTTGACCATTTCCAAACTGTTGAATCTTGCTCCTGAAAACTTAGCTGTTGGTGTTGTAACAGATTAAGAATATCTGCCATCTGCTGAATTTCCCAGTCATTGAAACTTCTCCTAAAGAGAGGAACCCAGCATAGCCTGCCTTCCTGGAAACACAGAGAATCAGCCACTAAGGCTTCCTTATCTATAGCCACATTGTACAGGGCCTGGGGCAGCTCTCTTGGGGTGTTGTCACCAGCCCACTGGTC